GCCTGTGCGGAGGGGGCCGACGCGAGGTATTCCCACGCTCCCGTCCGTGTGCGTTGGGAAGGGGCTGTTCTCGTCCGGGAATGACGAAGAACATCGTACCGCGGCAGATGCTGAGAGCTGGCCGAGGACACTAATCCACTCGAGGAGAGGATAAAGCCTGGCCGTGCAAAGCATCTTCTAAGATGCTGCTCGCCTAGTACTTGTATCTCTTAAAGTGACTTCTGTAGGCTTCCACGTCGGCAGTGTCATGTCTGAAGGGCAGGGGTGACCCGTTGAGCTTCCCACAGCGGGTTCAGTTCACATCCTGATCTCAGCTGCAAGGTGGTTGTGAATGGCTCCACTCCTGCTCTGACCAGCCCTAGCTGAAACGGCCCAGTGGAGGGAGGTACAAAGGTACAGTGGGGCCCCTTAAAGTCGTGACCCAAATCATAATCTGCCGAAAGACACAGAGCAAGACAGAATACAGAATGCTCTCCCATACAGGTATACGCAATTTTAACATAAGCTGAAGCCACTATTCCCTCAAGTAGAAGGATTGATAAGTCTCATCCTTACCATCGGCTGCTGAGCATAGAGCTCTCAGTATCATGTAATGGTCTGTTGTCTCTGTGGTGATGTAACTGAAAAAAGAGCCGCGCTCTGAATTAAATGCATAATTATGAACAATATTCCTGTTGCAAGTAAAGGAATGTTGATCAGTGCCAACTTATTCTTGGAAGTTCCTAAAGCATCTTCTTTGTGCCTGGTCTCGTTGTATGTCCTAAGTTATTCTGGCCTTTTCATTTGTTATTTTTTATTAAGGATCATCTTTCTGTTTACGCAGAGTCATGCTTACATAAAACACCAAAGAGATTGTTGAGTAGGAAATCCCGAATACCGACCTTCAGCTCTCCTGTTAACGACACCGACATACAGCAAGAAATCTTTTGGGATCCTCATTCACCAATTACACACAGACTAGGTAATGCTAATGAAATCCAGACTTCGGGGTGCCTAATTGAGGCATGCAGTGGGACGTTACAAAATTTCTTGAAAAAAGTTCCCTTTCTATTATCATGGTTAGGTTGCTTGGTTTTACTTTTATTAAAAACCCATATGGTCTTCGCTATAGTGCTGAATCAAGTTCTGGTTTTAGCACGTCTATTTGACTTATTTCGTATGTACTGCACATGATAGATTGAATGGGTTTGCAGTTTTTTAAGACAGCTTTGTGTTTGTTTTCATAGGCAGTGGGAAAGCCAAACGGTCTACGAGCAGATGCGCAGTAGAAATTTCAGAAATTGTTAATCGTATTGCTCCTCAGGTAATTGTGACTTCTGTGCTCTGTATGTGCAGTAACCAAACCGAAGAGCGCTGCAGCGTTGTGTTGGAGTGAAGGCTCAGTGTTAGTTACGGTAGTCTCCTTAGTGTGGTAAGAATTGGGCATGCAGAAGACTAGTAACGTGTTTGCAGAACCAGGCTGAATTAAACTCATAAGCATAGCATTTGACTGGTTGTTCTTAGGAGACACAGATGGTGTAAAAAAAATGTGTATTAAGAAAGTGGACTTGCAGCAGCTCCATTTTGGAAAGTTATATTGCCCCTGGTTTTAGGAATACTGCTGCGTTTGTTTGTCCTTAATTACTCATCTGTTAAAAGGTAAGTTTCTTTGCATACTGGCTTTACTTGGCAGTTGTTTTTAAGCATTTTGAATGATTTTGAATGCATGCTGAAGCACAAGAACACGACTCCGATGAGAGAGGGACTCCACAGTAATATAAGCATGGTAATGCTGCTTTCTTATTCTAAATGATTTGCCTTTTTACCCTAAGACCCATGCCCTTGGTGTCTCTCTCTTGCTGTAAACCTGATGTTCACAGCTTGGAAAGTGAAAATAAAGTAGTGTTGGCTTATTGTTTGTCTTTATTTAAGTGGAAGAAGAGAACCTGTTCTTCCCAAAACTGTTCTGTAGTACTCAGCTTGTAAAATATGCTGGCTTATTTGACAGGGCCATGTAAAATGTGTTCAGTATTTGGCGTATTTGTGAAAAATTATACTTAAGAATTGGAAGAATTGCAAAATCATTGGTGAGGGATGCCACTTTCTACCTCTTAAATGATTACAGCCCTATCATAAATGTAAATAAGACTGGATTTGCAACTGTGTTGCTCGTGGGTTTTTTTTTTAATTCAAAATTTTAAAAAACCCTACCCAAACCCACCCTGTTAGTACCTTTCAGACTACTTTTGCTGGCTTACAGGCAGTAATTTCTCACATCCAAACTTTGTCTCTGATCCTCCTCACGTTTTACCACTGCAGCATTGCATCTCTCAGATTTCAGAATTCAAATCCAACCCTAAACTTTGAAGCAAGTTCACTTAGTTTCTACACTTCAGTTCTTTCCAGTAAAGGTCCCTTGTCTAAAGGAGTTGTAATGGAAGAAGTCAGAATTTTTTTTCTAGATGCCTAGAGAATATGATTTCTTTCAAGCTCATTAAAGAGCTGTTAATGCTGCTTTAAGTGGATAAAGACAGTGTGTCTCGACTAGCTCCTTAGCAGCATACCGAGGTAAACTAGATCGCAGCTTGTCACGTGAATGTTGCAGATTATGTGTAAACCTGAAGTAGATAGAGTATTTGACTGGAGCAACTAAGTAAAATTCAGTTATTTTAATTTAAGTTCCGCTTCTAAATGCATAAAATGACAGTGATACCAGCAGACAATGTCACAGTAATCTCGCTTAGCTTGTACTGGTTTAGCTCCTGTCTGTAGCTTTCAACAGATCTGATGCAGTTTAATTGGTTTAGCAACTTTCATACCAGGTGTGTGTCTAGTCCAGTCTTTATCTGAAATCAAATTGCTAAGCGTTATAAATCTAATCATTCAGGATGAAAAAGCAGCCTGTAATGAAGGCTCCCTTCTAGGGACATGGATTGGTGAGGATGCTATTCCCTGTACACCTGGAGCAGTGAAAGTGCGAGCTAGGACAAAGTTAAGCTGTACAAGGTAAGTTAGAGTTCCACCCTGCCCGTGACAGCTGGGCCTTTGTAAAAGAGTATGTGGTGGTCCTTTCTGTACAGTGAGCCAAGAACTGTACATTAGCGTACAGAATGCTTTTCCCTCTGGGCTTGTTAGCTCTTCTTGGGGTATTTATGGGGAATTATCAACAACGTTGCACGCTGACCGCACGTTGAAAGCGGTGGGGTTCGGTCATGTTCTCTGTAGTTGTTCAACCAGCAAGTGAACATCTTGTGCAGGGGTGATACTGAGCTTGGCTAAACTTTCTCAGCAGGTCTGACTTTCTTTTCTCTATCTTTTTGCTTTTTAATCTAGAGATCTTAAAATAAAAAATCCTGAGGAGGAACTCATGAAATTGGCTAAGGAATTTGATAAAAATCTAGTAGAGCTAGATGCTGTTCAGGAACAAGAGAAGCTCAATCATGACTCCATCCCGACTGCCTCAGAGTCTTTAAATAATTTAAAAGATGAAGGAAATACGAAGAACCTGAAATCACTGCTTGGTGAAGTTGCCGAAACAGACACTGCTCTGTCCCTGAGGCCAGTTGGACAGAGCACTGGCATCCCTGCTGCAGAGCCCTGTCAGTCTAGCAGTCAAAAGTCTGTCGACCTTGAGGCTGAAATAGCCCTTCGTGCTCTTTTTGACTGCTCGACTCAGAAGTGCAGCGGACAGTTGAGCCAAGGACTGTCCGGTATTTCTTTAAATAACAGTTTCCATGAAAATAAAAGCACTTTGGAAGAGGAGCAAATTAAAGACACGCAACATGGTAATTCAGAGGCGTATAAAAAAGAGGCTTGGTGTGCATTAGGAGGTGTGAACCAAACTTCTCCAAAACCTGATACTCACACACTGACAAAAAAAGGTCCTTGTTCGTTGAAGACACAATTGGTAGTCTCCAGTAAGCTTGCTGGAGTAGGTAATGATGATTTGGATGACTGGGATACGGATTTTTTGGCAGATGACTCTTTTGTGATGCAAATAACCCAAAATCCTGAATTGATAAGTCCTGAAGAAGCACCACCCGTTCCTACAAATCCATCTGCGCACAGTTTAAGTGATGCCAGCAGAACAAAGGAAAGAAGTAGCTTCAGTTCAGTAACTTGTTTGGGGAATGTACAGAAACCGAAGAGTTTGCAGTTTTCACCTTTGAAACCTCCCAGTAAAAAACCACAGAGTGTTGCAAAATCTCTGTCGTTACAAAAGCCATGCAGTAAGACAGAAAACTCCAGGACAGAGACTGTAGCCTTTCGTGGCAAGTCTGACGTTAAGCCGGATAAAATGAACTCTGTTTGGAAGAGTCCCCCAAACGGTGATTTGAACTATATTCCTGTTTCAAAGCAATCTCACATTAAGAATGGGAATGGAAATGTAAGTATTCAGCCTAAAAGTGATCCTCTTCCTCCTTTTCCTTCAAGATCTAATCCTCATAGACAACGGACTGAAAAAGCTGGGAATAACACCACAGGTATTTTCTGTCAATCATCCACTGTTTGTACCAATACCAAACCTAATGATCTAACTAAAGTGGTTAACCAAGCTAATACAGGTCATCTAAATCAAGCTGAAATACCAAAGAAATGTCCTCTGTCATTTGATGACTGGAATGAACCGAAATTCTCCGATGAGATATTGGATATGTTTTGTGAATCCAATAGTCTTTGGGATGCAGACTGTGAGGATGATGAATTGTTGTATCAGGTATGTGATGATGTAGAAAAGCAGACTCGGAGCCAGGATGTTAAACAAGGAAATGAAAGAGCTAAAACTGTACCAGGAACCAGTATTAATTCCAGGTCAAATGCTGGTAGCAGCTCCCTGTCATCTAAACAAGGACTGCCCGATCGCCTGGTGGCACAAAAACCCAATGCCAAACAGGACAGTCCCTCGCCGAGCGATTCCTGTAGGAGTTCATTGAAGGTCATGCATGGGCTGGCCACAGCGGGTCACATAGTGAACTGTAAAAACGGCTCGAGTCCTCGGACTGTGATCTCGGGTACTTCTGGGGAGCCTAAGTACGCGCCGTCCAAAAGCTGTCAGCAAGCTGCTGCTGAAGACACTGCGAAGAGTGTTTCAGGGAAATGGTACAGGTCCCATTCTGTGCCTGCGGGAGGGACTGGTTCTGAAGTCGGCCCTGTTAATGCAGTAAACGTTTTTAGTAACAGAACACTGGACAGCCCAAATCTTTTGTGTAATGCAGGAAAGATGCCAAATAACAGTTGTGGTAACAAAACATCAATTATGCCTTCAAAGTTTAAGTTCCGAAAGACTAACATTTCTCAGGATGCTCTTCATCTAGGGTCTGAAAATCCAGGGAGTCATTCTGGCATTGGAATTACCCTGCAGGGCTTGGAAGGAAGCAAGAATCAGGTGAATGTGGCTTTGCACAGCAAGGTTGACAACAAGAAGTCACCTTTCAAGAGGCACCTTTCAGAGTCTTTTGCACTGCCTACATCAGGTATGTGTCTTTACGGTGTCACTGGGAGACTGCTTTTGTTTGTTCTCTTACAGTGATCAGAATGGTAGAGACATTTATACTGTACTGCAACTTACAGAAGGCTTCAGTATGCATTCTGTTTAGGCATTAGTAAGTGTCCTAACCAGAATCTGGAGGTTATTTCCTCCAAAACAAAATTGTCCTGATGCATCTTCAGAATTCCTGTAGTTCAGGACTTCGATTTCCCATTTTCATTCCCCTTCCTGAATACCTCACACTCTCTCTTCACAGACACTCAGAATCACTAGGATCAAGTTCAGGTTGATGGCAGTACTCCATATACCACATTCTTCAGTTGCTACCTAAAAATACTACTTTGATCCGTAGTAAACGTTATTGTGTGAATTTACCATTCATTTTGAAAAACATCAAAAATTCCTTAGCCACAATTTGTAAAACCCCAGTTAATGGTGGGGCAGGGAAAGAAGGCAGCAGGTGATACAGAATGCCAGTTTCTTTTATAATGGTACACCTGGAAATTGGAACCTCAAACCATTCAACGCCCCCCAGCCTGTATCTTCGTTTGCTCTAGCTAAAACCGACAGTGGAATATTCTTGTGTTACCAGTCTAAACGCCATCGTTTCCTTTCAGCTAGAGGGGTAGGTCAGTCACTTTTCCGTGGTCGAGCGACAGTCTGTAATATTCCGTGCGCTGGTGTTACTTGCCAGGGAAATGCAGAACCAGTCACGTGCCAGCCAGTCTTGTTTTCGCTTGGTGAAATTTCAGTCAATGCTCCTTTTGATCAAACGTGCCTTCAGCGTGTACTGCATCAACCTGCTCTAGTGGAGGGTGTCCCTGCCCATGGCAGGGGGGTTGGAACTGGATGGTCTTTAAGGTCCCTTCCAACCCAAACCATTCCGTGATTCTCTGAACCTCAGTATTCGGGAAGCACTGTTCCAAAACCAACAGAAAGAACTAATTCCTGCAAAATACCAGCCAGTATTATTTGAAAAATCAGTATTTTATCTGGGTTTCTTCCCCAGCAAAGCAGCAGATAAACAGAAAGTAGCAATTTCAGATGTTGAGGGGGAAGGGACGGGAGAGTCATTCTGTGGAATGTTCTAGAGAATAAAGGAATGCAAAAGAACAGCATAGGGTTTTTACAGATAAACAAAAACTGTCCTCATCTCAAATTTTTGGTGAAAGGACATTGCTGTAACAAAAAGATGGATGTTAAGCAATCCTTTCAAAAACTGCTAGGTAATTCTTCATGGATACCTCCTCTTCTTTATAAGAATCAGAGAGACCCTTTGTTTTATTTATCCAGTTTGAAGGACTGCTTATTAAAAACACGTTAATTGGAAATTGGTGTAGAAAACTAAAATTCTTGACATACTCAGGGAGCGTTCCTGTTGCTTCCAGTGAGGTCAGGATTTTATTGTATGGGAATTGATAGTTCTGTAACACAACATCTAAAATATTAGATAGTTCTGTAACACAACATCTAAAATATTAGATAGTTCTGTAACACAACATCTAAAATATTAGATAGTTTTGTAACACAACATCTAAAATATTACACTGAGTTATCATGTTCTTGTCTCCTTTGCCAATTTTTATTGCTACTTTTGACCTTTTTTCAACCTTTCTGGTTTTATTTGTGTGACACCTGGACTGTATCTGACCCCTGTGTCTATACCATCTCCATGCCCATATCTGCCTAACTCACTGAATTGTAGAGCCCTTTTCACTCCAATAGCCTTAATTTTCTTAACCCATCTCCTGTGTTGACTCCTGATGTCACAGGGTTCACCTGAAGGGCAGCCAAGTAAAATTTCCTTGAAGCAAGCGTCTGCATCCCCATGTTTTCACTGGGAGGCAGTAATCGGTGGCACTACAAAGGTCGAGCATCTTGTCCCCCTTCCTGCCTTGGGGACAGGATAGATGAGCCATTTTTAACTTGGGTGCCAGACCGGCGCGCTCTTGCCATAGATCTTCAAACATTGAAAACAGATATGTTAAAATACATATTGAACAAACTTCAAGGCTCCTAATACATGTGGGTTTTTTTATTTACAGTGTCTGTGGTGGAACAGAAAAATAGAAAATGTTCTCAAGAAGAGATTGAAAGAAAAAAACAAGAAGCTCTTGCAAGAAGAAAATCCAGAATGCAGGCGTTCTATAAAGATGCTTGAAATTGGAGTTTATTTTGTCTATGGAGCGAGTTTTTTTGGGAGGGAAACCTTGTAATGCTGGAAGACATATTTTTTAAACCTTGTTCACAGCTACTGATGGCCAGCTTTGCCTATTCCTCAGTTTCAAAAAATCTTGGCCTGAGCCATAACTAAGACCCTGGTGGTATTTGGTCTTCATTAAAAACTGCCAGTTGTAAATGTGTAGTCCCAGACTACCTTCAGGACAGTGAAGATTGTATCGTGTTCGCCTACTGTCATGTGTTGAAATCGCACCGTCTGAGAATCATGAAAGAGGGAGTACACACGCGTCCCACACAGACTGTGTTTTGGCTGTATTCTTCTTACTACGAGTGTTTTAATTTCTAAGACAACTCTCAAGTACTAAAAAAAACTCATGTTTGCTCTCAGGCGACATAAAGTTTTGAAGTTTTGGTTTAAGGAAAGTACGACCTAGAACACATCCAACATGGGAAAACTAATGGAAGCAAACAGGGTTTGGGAAGCGTGCTCCGTCTGTCTCCACTAACTTAGCCAAGAATTGTGCATAGTGAAGGAAGAACGTAATAGAAACATTTCAGAAGGTGAAAAAGCATCCTGGAAAGGACATTTTAATTTCTTTTTTTATTACTCCCTTCATGAAGAGTTGGAAATACCCTAACGAACAACACCGGACCACCTTTCTCTAAACGTGTGTCTCCGAGCGAATTAAAAAAGGGGAGCCTGTGTCATTTAATGAAACCATACCAGGTGAAATCTCAACAGCTGTCAACCAGTTTAGCCTTATGGGTTGCACACGTGTTTCAAACTAAAGGCTGTTAAAACATAAAAATGCAATGTCATGTCAACTTAACAGGGGTGATAGAATTTTTGATGTGATAGATGGGTGCCGAGCTCCGACTGGAAAAACTGCCTGTGGGTAAGCTGCAAGAATTTTTCAACTGAGAAATGCTTATATGTAAACATGTGACACTATGAAAAGTGACCGTCATTTTTCTTTGTAGATAAATAACTTTGAAATGTACCAAAGGTTAGAGGAAGCTTTTGGTTACTGTAGTATGTGCCATTTTTGTAACTCCTAAAAATGTAAGTACTGTATATTTGTAAATCATCATTAAATTTTTTTACGTTTTTCTAGTCTGTTCTGGAAATACCAGTACTACAGAAACTGGTAAAAGGGAGTGAAATGGGAATTTCATACGGACTTCACTTGAATGTTCTCTCTTGGTAATTTACCCTATTATTCTAAGTCTCAATTTTCTACCTGTAGTGGTGACAAATTGCTTCCTTTGATCCATTTAAAGTAGAAATCCTTGGTGGAGGAACTGGTTCTACACACAGCCGTCTGCAGCCGAGTCCTGAAATACTTAACTACACTGGTTTTCCAACTAGTAGGTTTGCTTTTGCACGAACCCCATGCCAAGTGCTAGGCAGCTGATGATGAAATCGGAGCTGCAAGCCCACCAACGGCGCTGCCGGTGCCCAGTAAGTGTGACTTACAGGCTGCTGCTGCAGCTCCCTGTCCCCCAGCTGTTGCGCCATACGAGTTGGATCAGCTTATGGATCCGACTGAGAATTAACCCAGGAAGAAATGTTTTCAGCTTTTCAGATAACTTCACGGTAATAATATCCTTAACCAGTAGCGTGGGACACAATAGCCAGGTTCGTCGTCGTGTCGTCGAGGCCCTGCTGGCAGTGTTCAGTTAAGACACAAGATCCCCACATCCGTGTGACAAATGTAAATCCCAGAGAGTGGCTGTGGCAAAAAATGTATTTATCCTAGGAATGGAGTTTGATGTGTGCATCATCTGAGGGATAAACTTCTCTTTGTGGTGGTCTAGGAAAATCTGAACTGTCGGGTAACTTCCCAGATGTTCTGTTAGCCAAGAAAGTGGCAATGAAAAGGGGCTTCTACTACCAGTGTGAAGTGTGAGAGCTATAAACTGGCTTTTAGGGTGCTGGTGCACAAGAACGTCAGCTCTGATGGAGAAAGGTAAAGATTAGGCTTTTGCTAGGACAGTGTTCAGCTTACCAGCCCTTCCCCTCCCAGGGTGTTTCTCTAGGAATAATTCTGTAAAGGAACCAGGGTAATGTTTGTTTTCAAGGATAGTGTGGTTAATCACACTCCTGATTTGGGAAGACGAGCTAACTGGAGAGGAAGGAACTGTTGCGGGTGCTGGAGAGTATTTTTTTTTAGGAAGGTTTCGTTCACTGATGGAAAAGGGCTAACTTTTAATCAGGTTTGTAATGGGGATGAATAGGTAACAGCAGATGGAGGCTGAGCACACGGTGGCTACGCCAGCTCAGCGTGCAGAATGGTACACCCTGAACACCTGCCAGCGTGTGTCCGTGGGCACGCTCAGTTTAAAACCAGCGTACTGCCCTTCCAGGCCAGGCCGATGTCCTCAGCACCCAGGACAGGAAGGCCCTGGAGCTGCCTGCCTACAGTGCCACCACTGCTCTCCCCCCCGCGCAGGGTAAGAACGTCCCGGCTCATCCTTTCCCACAAGTGTCTGTCCACCCCTCTTGGCTGTAAAATGAGAGTTCAGTGTATGACACGGGAATTCTGTTGTCATGAGGGGTGTGGAAAGGACCCTTTGCAGGCTTTCCAGTGGGAGGAAGACACAGACTACTTTTTGACCAGTAACTGACTCCTTGACCAATTACTGTCACTTACCCAAGTAGTTCCTATCTGCTGCTTAACCGTATTTAAAGAATTTGCTGCTTAGTGTGACAGTTCATGGCAATTGCATCCACTGCCCTCCCCTGTTAAACTAATCATAACAGAGGGGTTTGGGGTTTGACTTACTTTTCATAAATACCTATTTTTATCACAGATATCACACTTCAAGGCCTGCAGTTTGGCTTTTCTTAAATGTTTCTTCAACATACTTTTCAAATAGGAATCACAACTTCTTGGGATCACGTTTCTTAACTGATAACTGAGACGGACTACTATGATTTCTTCAGTCACGTATCCCCAAATGCCCCAACATACCATCTCTTAGTTAACAAACTCAATGGAGTTACTTTTTCCTGTGACTTACAGAATCACCACAGTACGGTTTGGGTTGGAAGGGACCTTAAAGATCATCCAGTTCCAACCCCCTGCCATGGGCAGGGACACCCTCCACATACTCAATGCTGTTAAAAACAGAGAAATAATGTTTTGCGTTAAAATTACAACACTCCTACACTGTTTTTGTTAGGCAAATTTGGTACAAGTGAAAAGCTTAAAGTAACTTTAACGCCACGTAGTTTCACTGGTGGAGTCTGTGAAGTTTTGTTAGGGCTCAGAAATAGTTACAAAGAAGAACAACCTCTACAATATCAAAAATAAAATTCTGCATGGTAGGAATTTTTGTCTAAAATATATATATATATTCATATTGGCGGGTCAGAAACATCCAAAATACTTAGAAGAAATCTAGTGAAAGACAAACTCTGGCGATATACACGTATCTTAGCAGAGTGCACACCACGGAGCTTGTTTCCTGCAAGTGCCATCCTGCCCTTCGGCTCTTCCTGCTGCGCTGGCCCCGGCAGGGTGCTGGACAGACCCAGCCCCGCAGACAGGGCAGCACGCGGAAGCTGACAGGGTGCAGACGGGAGGAGTTTCACCTTGGCCTAATTCTCAGACATCTGGATATGAAAGCCAGCAATGCAGCAGGGGTGCAGGTAGAAATGGGTTGGTGCCCCCGCAGCTGAGGGGCTAGGTTAGGCGTACGGTCATTTCAGGCGCTCCTGTGGCAGGCAGTGA